CAAAACATCTTAAGAAAACCAAAAGACCCAGTAGCCCAAGAAAAAACAGGAGTCATCTACAACATACAGTGTAAGGACTGAAACAGTCACTATGTAGGACAGACAGGTAGAAGACTAGCAGAGCCCATCCATGAACACCAACTAGCAGTCAAAAGGCATGATGAAAACTCCTTAATCTCACAACACATGAACAGACTCAACCACAATTTCAAATGGGAAACTGTGAGCATTCTAGACCAAGCTAAATCCAAAAATGCTAGGGAATTCCTGGAAGCTTGGTACTCAGACACATCAGCCATCAACAGTCACATAGAGATAAACCACATTTACATATCATTCAAAAGAGACCATAAGAAAGCTAAGAAGGAAATAAAAAGACCAGAACACATCCTCTCTAGCTGCCTACACCCAGATAATCAAGGATTAACACCAGACAAACAATCAAGCAGAAAACAATACTCTAATCAAGGAACTATCAAGGAGAAAACCACACCCCCACTAACACTGGCAGGGCAAGCTACAGTATATAAACAGGGAGCAAACCCCACACTCACTAGCACTGATGATGTTATCTAGTCAGGTAACTGAAATGCCTGCAATCAAACAACGAAGCTCAGAGAGCACCAAGGACTCCACAAATGAAACATCCACAAATTAAGATATCCACAAACTACTTCTCATTACAAAGATAAGCTATTTCAAGCAAAGAATATGCAGTGCTTGATGAAGGATTATATCAGATTCTTTGCCAAAATAAAATAAGAAACATATGGATGCCATCACATAGAGTAATGTTGATAAACAAAACGAACGCAATACAAATGTCAGATAACTAATCAATAACTGACATTCTTGACATTCTCAAGGCACACACCTTATACAGCTAGTATAATGTAATGATTTAAAGAGGGAAAAAAGGAGACTTACTTAATGACTCCTTCCCCTCCCCCCCCAAAAGATCTCAAAGGATACGATGTCATCCCTAATTCTAATGAATACATAAGGCTTTTAAACAAGTCTTCTGGAAGCTGTGGAATTTTCTCAGGGAATATTTCACAAATAAAAGTAATTAATTTGTAGTACTGATTACACAGTGATGGAAACTATAGAAGGAAAAAGTTAATAAATCTATGTTAATAAGGCCTCTTAAAATAAATTACTGTATTTAAAGAATACAAAGTAATGTCAGGTGTTCAAAATCAAATGTTATTATTTTTATACATTTCACAATTTGCAATACATATATAGTGCTAAGTTTTTGAGGTCAATACAGAATTAAAGCTAAAATATTTTTGTAATTCATGGCCTATTGTTGAAACAATAGTTCACTTATTATGATAAACACAGGTCAAGCTGATCTGCAGTTAGAGACTTCTGAAAAATTATAATCCAAGAGGGGTATCATGCGCATTATTTCATAATGGTTGCAGAGGGAGCATGTTGGGTCTCCCGTCTCAACCCAGTATCTTAACTGCTACATTACACTGGCTCTCCAACACCAGGCTATTCCTCAGATGCTACTGCTAACACATTTGGAGATTACCAGGTTCAAAAGGCTGTCCAAAGACAGGCATGAGCTTGGCTGAAGCTCTGAGTTAATGCTAGTAGCCATCTTCAGCCAGCCATGAAAGTCCTGGTGGTAGTAGAAAGTGAATGCTCATATTTAAGGACATGACATTATAATGACGGAAATTTTTAGAAGAATGGTCAATATTCCTCATCCCTTTCTGCAACACTGCATGACACTGTACGTACTTTTAACAAGTCTTGGGACATTAAAGGCAGAACTAGGTTTACTCCATATAAAACAACATCTGCTGCTGATACGGATCTGTTTGTTGCTTGTCCAGGTTCATGTCCCCTAAATACTTCATCTAAAAAGATGGGGAAGAAGTAGGAAATATAAGAATATAAGAATAAATTCAACTCTCCCTAAATATTTTCTGAACTGCAAGCTTAGAATTCCATACATCATTAGTGAGCATGCAATATGTTCATAAATTATTAACTAAAGCAACTGGAGTGCTTGAATCCCAGTAAGGCGATGCTAAACTTAACTTTGCCTTCTGCAGTTGATCTTAAAAACATGTTTCCTTTAGAAAAACTAAACAGTACGGTGAGGTGTACTACAAGCATTCCACTTCTGCATGTTCTGTATTCACTACTTGGTACTGTACATTTTTTAAAAGTCAGTAATGTAATGTATAAACAGTGTTAAATTATAGCTGGTTTTTCTGATTCTTATTTGGATTCTGAGATGGCAAAAAGATTCGGAAACCCATCGAGAAAGTAAGAAATCAACTTTAAGGTGAAAAAAGGTCAGAAATTCTAACTTAAAAACTATAAAAAGATATAAAAGGTATTTTGCAATCTACTACAGCCAAGATTACTGTACCCCTAGACATACAATTATAAGGTATATACTTACTCAATTCAAACTTTTCAAATTTAGATTTGTCAAAAGACAGACCACTTTAATATATTTTAGAGCAATGGTTCACTAATGATTTGGTTACCTTGTAGTTAAACCTATCTTCTTTTAGTTCAAAATGCACAAGGTACAAACATCCAAACAGTAATCTTATTAGCCACAAAGACAAAACTCTAGGTCTATGAAAAACCGAGCTTACAGTAGTTAATTATCTACTTGGGGAATGGTTTCATATATTATACACACAGAACTCCACATTTACTAATGTCTATATACTCCATAATTACTAATATTTATAAATGTCATTATGCAAATGTTTCAAAAACATTTGTTTATATATTTGATTTTTAAGAGATTTATGACCTGTCTACCTTTCCCAACTGGCTGCTAAAGTTCCCCAGTATTAGTTTAAGCATACCAAATAAAGAAATAAAAATGAAAATAGAAATCAGGAGGGCAATAAAAGATTGAACAACAACAACAACAACAAAAATCCAAAGCCACTGAAGAACTAAACAGGAAAACAATAACAAAAAACTGTTTGTATAAATGCATCAGAGAATTAAGATTTTAATCCTGAAATTTAAAAGATAGAAAGCACCCAACCAAGAGGGCCCTGTTATTTGTTCATCACATGCTGGAAAACGGGTTATTTTGAGAAAAGCCTTAGACAATTATCAGAGAACTAGCCGAACAGTTTCCTGTGCATACAGTCCCTTAACGTGTCAAGAGATAAACAGCTCTTTGAGTGGCACCCATGCTATTTTCAGTTTTAGATTCTCCCCTACCTGTGTCACTGAAATCTATAAATTCTTTTGAAAGTAGGTTAGTGAGAAGCTCCATAATGAGAAGAAGATCCTGGTATTGGTCCTCTTCTGCTGTAACATCTATTCGTTGTCTACCTAAATTATTCTTGGAATATACTTGAAGTAGGGTCAGACAAGCTTCATATAAATTCATGGCTTTAGACTGCAAAAATAAAAAAGAAGGCTTAATGAAGGATATGCATTTGTTAGAATGTATTTATTACTCAGGCCTCCAAGCCAGTTCAGTTGTACCTGACACTAAATGGCATATACTCCATCCATAAGCAAGGATTAAAACAATAAAATAACAATACTTAATAATCATTAATTCTATTGCACCAAGGGAATACTCTCCAACATAGACAATCACAAACGGTCAGGCACAAATTTAAGCAGCATAGAATTTCCATTGTATAGTTATAACATTTTGTAGGAAATTCTGCCTCTTGGTACTATTAATTTCTCCATTGTTAGGAGCCCTATGACTGGGCTGGAAGAGATAACTAAGTGTCCAATGAATCTTTAACAGTTAACAGAGGTACTGGGGCATATGCCTTCTAGGTTAGAGCTTCTTCCATCAGATGCAGAAAGTGCTCTGTTGTTGTATAACAGAGAACTTGTAATCCTCCAGACATGGGCGTATTACCATTCTCATTCATTGGCCATGTTGGCTGGGACTGTTGGGATTATAGTTCTCCATTATCTGGAAGACCACAGCCTCACCACACAGTGAGGTCATAAAATAATGCAAGCAAGGCATGAGACCTAAATAATATGTAGCCAAACCCTCTCCAAATGGACAAAGCAGCACAATGGTGAAGGAAAATATTCTAAAAGGAACAACTGCATCATGTGATGAATCATCAACCCTTGAGTTTTAATTCAGCTTAACCGATAATACCAAAAACGTTTAGAAATTCCAAAGTCTTCAAAGATTCTTCTTCTAAAATATGGAAATGTTTCAATTTACAGAGCCCATTGATTTTTTTTTAATTAGAAATAAAATACAAAAAAAGTCCTCATTCTCAACTTAGCGGAGAAGTGGGGTTGGGAATCCAGAAACAGAAAAAAGGTGTGAAAGGAAATTGATATTACTGAACAGGTATGGAACTGCCCAATGTACATTTCCGCGTGTATCCTACATTAGAAATATATTTTAAAATTTATTTACCTCTCCAAGATAGCATATTTGTTTATGTGCAACTTCAACAAAAACTTCTATGATGAGGTTAACAGTCTCTGGTGTATTCTTGTACACCTCCATGAGTCCAATGCAATTTGTAAGGAAGTCCATCAGAAAATTAAAGAGAATTGCTACATTGTCTATCTGGGTAGCCTCAGCGATGCCACAAAGTGCTTCTAAGGTGGCAGTGATTTCCTGTTTCACCTCCTCCTCCTGGCAGATCTGTTGAAAGTTTTCTTGGTTTATCACATTCAAGAATCGTTGTTGTAGTGGCTGAAGAACCTGGAAAACAAAAATAAAAGGAAGTGTACTGTAGCTTTGCTTATCTGCAACAGCTGCAGACAGCAACATCTTGATCCAAAGATTTTTCATGGACGTAATACAGCTATTTTGGAGAACAGTATTTTTTTTTACATAACACAACCTGGATGAAGTTTAAAATCGATCACAGGGGCATTGCTTCACTTCCGAGTAAGATGGCAATGCCCTTTTATTGAATTATTTCTTGTTTGAATAGCATATATAAAACCTACAAGGCCAAATACAAAATGCCAAAGAAATACCTATTTTGAAAAAGCAGTACATATGCAGAATTTTAAGCCAAAGAATGCTGAAAAATCACACATTACTTGATTTTAAAAAGCAAGGTTTTTTAACATGTAGTAAATGTTCATAACATTAACATTGATCAAAGCAAAAATTGAACTGTAAAATGCTACTGGGCTAGTGAGATTGTTTTAAATAATTGTGGAAGAGATGTGTGGAGAAACTGAGTCACAGCAGAACAGTTGTCTCTGGAGTTTCACTGTGGGAGTGATAGGGGAGTCATACCACTTTTTGCTCTTTTGAAACATTCTGAATGCACAGGCCTCTAAAACTTGATAGAGATAGGTTGAATTCTTTTATGCTGACTTGTCATATCTGGTTTTGTATAATATTTTGATTGCCAAAGGGACTCATTATCAGTTGTAAAATCTTACAACTAGCTGTTTCTGGTTCAGGAAAATAGCCTTTGTTTTTGCAGCCACATTTTTAAACACATGGCTCATGCTATTTTGAAAAGTCATTTTTAGAGCAAACTTCCTTGAAAAGATCGGCATTGATTAAGAAATATCACTACATGCTTAAAACCTGAAAAGCAACTGAACATGCCTGCAGTTAAAATGAAGGGGGAAAAAAAGCGAAAAGTATTCCTTTTCAAAGTATTCCTTTAATTTTTGTCTGTCTTTAATTTTGTCTTTTCTCTATACACGTGTGAGTGTGTATAAGCATATGCATGTGTAGAAAAGGTATATTTGGCAAAACCAGGCCTTTGCTAAAATAGCTCAAGGAGTGGAACAGGACAGTTGGGGAATTGGGGCGAGGTGCTCATTTCCGAACTGCTTAATTTTCCCCTTGCAGCAGCCACATCCTTGTACTTTTGGGCCACAGTCCTCCAGAACTTATCACTGCTCTTCTAGACCCCCCAGAAGCATCGTTCTGAGAAGTTTTTAGAATGATGCATTGTGAGGCCACTGATATTTCCCAATACAGTGCATTAGGCGCCCCCTCAAAGCAACATCTAAAGCAATGTTTCTCAACTTCAGCATCGTTTAAGATGTGTGGACTTCGACTTCTGGAAGCTTAACACATCTTAAAGTTGCTGAGGTCGAGAAATAATTATCTAAAGGATGCAGATGAATGGCCCAGTGGAGGCAGGGGCAGCCTTGTAGTGTGAAGAGAAAGTATGTAGATCTGCCTTCTGCTTTAGTGGTGGGTATTCAGTGGACTGCTCTTGATTAAAGAAGTTTCTTTTTCTGCTCATCAGCAGAAAAAGTTTCTAAAACAGTTTATGCAAAATCAATAAATACAACTAAAGGAGATGGCACAAAATGAAAAAGAAGAAGAAAAAAAAATCAAAAAGGAAACTTAGACATCAGTTATTATGGTTACATTCCATTTGTTTAATATTTGTTATTTTAATTCCAGAAGATTTTTTTAATGTAATTTTATGAAACTCTTTGGTAGCACAATGCTGAAAATTAGAACTTTAATTTTCATCAATAAAAAGGAAAGCATTGATGTGTGACTATCTAGCATTTCTTTTAAAATATTTAAATATATTATTTATTTGAGTCAACAATACAATTATTGTTATATTCAAATTTATAAGACTTAGTATTATTGCAATTCAAAATGTTATATATCCCATGATTTCCCAGACTAGAATCAAAAATAATGTCAGCAATAGATTTCCTTTCCTTATCCTTGAATAACTAATTTCTGATGGTAAATGATGATATAAGCAAGCATACTTCTGAACGGATTGTAGAAAACAATCCTAGTTATAGAAAAGTATTCTCGAGAGTATGTAGCTATAGACCACCAATATGTATCTTTGTACATGCTCATTTAACCTCTGGATATACAAAAAGTATTGGTTCATTTTAATGTTAAGCAACAGTACATTACTTAAATTTATAGAATATTATGTTACCTAAGGAACTTTGTGAAATAAGCTACATTGCTAATAATAATGTAACATTAGATTATTTATTTTCCAGGGGTATGTCATCAGCATTTCATTGTATCAAAGAAAGACTATGGGATAATTCAGTACAGGAATTAATGGCTAAAGGCAAAGCATCGTGTTCACCTGTAACTTTTGGAATTAACCACAGATATATTTTTCAGCTCCCTAAATACAGTATTTGAATAGCTTACATTTAAGTAAATACAGAATAGCCTTTTCAAAAGCCAGATTAAATGTGTTGCCATCAAATATGCTATATGGTAGATTTCAAAAAATGCCCATCTCTCTAAGATTTTGTCCCTGGTATGATACTTATGGATCATATTTTACTGAATTGTGAATTTTGTAAGAGTCTTCAGCAGGAAGTTATCTGGCCAATTTTAAAATCCAAATCAGAAGAGATACTTCTGAGTATGTAAAAATTTTACTTGCAGATGAAAATCCTGAGATTACAGTGGCAACAGCCAGATTTTTAACTATGGCTATAAAAACAAGCTTTTTAATAACAAATCAATGAGCTGGGGTTTTAAGTGTATTATGTAATATTTATTTTTTAGCTAATGCCAAGTTTAGATTATAAACTTGCTTTTGGGCCTTTTGGCCATAAATAAAATTGAATTTAAAAGATACAATACATGAGAGCCAATTTGGTATAGTAGTTAAGGCATCAGGCTAGAAACCAGGAGAGCAAGAGTTCTAGTCCCACCTTAGGCATGAAGCCAGCTGGGTGACCTTGGGCCAGTCACTCTCTCAGCCCTAGGAAAGAGGCAATGGCAAGCACTTAAAAAAAAACTTGCCAAGAAAGCTGCAAGGACTAATTCAGGCAGTCGCCATGAGTCAAAAACTGACTTGAAGGCATGTACCTCCCCCAATAATACAATGCTAGCAGTGAGTAACTGATCACTAAAACAAATTTTAAAATAAAATAACTTAAAAGATTCTTTAAGTCAACAAGGAAAAAAATCAAGACAACTGAATCCCAAATTCTCATTTGCTGATTTTACCCATCCTGATTTTTGAAGATTGCACTTACTTCTGTCCAGTATTGCTGTTTGGTATCTCCATCCATATGAGCAAAACCCCCAAGAACTAAGGCTTTCATTAATGTACGTTGCACTGAACTGGATAGAAAGTGAAGAGGGGGATTCCGTCTGGCAAACTGTTTTGCTAAGTTCCACCAGTTTTCACACTGAATTACTAAATTTGCCCTTATAGAAAGACATTGAAACAGTAAATAACAATGTAATAGTCCAGTACAGTTAAATAAAACCTGCCTTCCCCCAGATAAAATTCTTAAGCAGGCTCTTAACAAATGAATAATACTCTAATGACATGGTGTGTGCTGGCATAGTATTAAGTGTCATCATCAAAACTTTTCCCCTTCGTTTTGTTCAGTGAAAAACATGAGTAGAAATAGGACAAAAATAATTTATGTCTTACCCACAATGTTCTTCTTTTGGGAACTCAGTTAAACCTGAACTGGCCAAATTCATACCTGCATAGCAGAAGTTCCATGTTTGTATACAAGCTGCCCTGACTGTCTTAAGTATTGTCCTTGTTTCTAAATGTAATTGTGGGCATAAGGAGACCAGACTGCAAAGAGACCAGACTGCAGCAGCAATGATGGCATAAATGAATTAAGACTTACAGTATGCTGCCAAATAAGGTGATGAGTTTATATGAAGCAACATTGCAGTTACCAGCAGCTTTAAGAACTGCTAGGTATAAGCATAAGTTAAAAGGGGAACGTATTGTACAAGCAAGCTTTGGAACTACCATTTCTATTTGATAACATGAAAGCGATCCGTTTCTGGACGAAGTTAGCCATAAAGCTAAGGCTCAGCAAATTGCCCTTGTAACTCTTGGTGTTGATCAGATCAAGGCAGTTTAACAGTTATGACAAGCTTGTTCCATGCCTTGGAAATAAGTGTGATATATTAACAATGGTAGCTTAGCACCAGACTCATCAACTTTCTGTAAAGAATCATTTTGTAACTAATCATGAGTTCCAGCCCTTAAACTGATACACTGCATTCAAGCAGTATTATTTTGCTTGTGATCCTATTTGATAGTTAGAACACTTCCAACCATTTCAGTCTTTCTGTTTACTTAGATGTATGCCTAAAACTCTTCTGAAGTAGTTCAAACAAGGATCTTCACAACATACTTTTGGTGGGTGGGAAATCTATATTGTGAATGTAGCCCAGATGCATGCTGGTCATTTGATCTGCCCCCAGAAGATACAAATTTGGTGTTTTAAACTCTATTAGGCTTTGTGCTTAACCCCACTCAGCCCATGAAAAATAAAAGGCTGAAAAATGCGCTGCTCCCAACACATTATTATATACCCTTCCTCAGAAGACTAGCAAATATTAACAAATGAAACGCAGACCCCAGCTAAAAAAACCCAGTTACCTGATTCTGCTTTATTACATACAATCACTATACTGATATTCTAAGGCTTAACAACTGCCTCAAATAGCTCCAGAAGTATTAGAAATAGGAGGGACTGAACACCACCCAGAGTCACTTTTTTGTGAGATGGGCGGTATCTAAATTCAAAATATAAATAAAATAATTTTTTTCTCAATGGCATTACACCCCTGAGGTAGGTATTCAAGTGCTGAATGGACACATTTTAACTAGTCCCAAGTCTCCTGAAACCCTGAGCATAAAGCAGTCCAGAAGTTATACTGGACTCTTTTCTCACAAAACAATGATTTGCTGGCATATTATTCCTAGCAGATACTGATCATGTCCTCATTATTCTCAGTGTTAGCATGACGAAACTAGAAAGAAAGAAGGGGAGTGGGGGAGGGTTGGACAGCAATTAAAAGTTCAGAGATTGCCAACTGTTGTTGGGACAACAGCCAAAGGAAGGGTTAGTCCTGACTTCCACAACCTGGTACCTTCCAGATAGACGTGTGGGGCTGAGTATTTGTGGTTTCAGTGCTACTCAGGCTTCCTCACAGCTACTACTTATATAGCAAGACTTATATGTTCACAGAGACTGTTAACATCATATCTAGTCTGGCCGAGAAAAACTCAGCCAGGATTGTTGGAAAGGCTTTTTTTTTTTTTTCCATTTAGGAGTATAACTTTTAGGCTTACCTCTCTCTTCTTTCTACTAAAGTTACTAGCAGTTGCACAGTGTCATTGGCAAGATCTTGCTCAGAGCTCCACACTGCAAGGTTGCTGATTACCTTTTCTAAAAGGTAACCCACAATCCATTGGGCACCCTCAGTGTCAGCACCAAATGCTGTGTTGAATGGCAGGCTTATCTAAAAAAAAAGTTAATATTTACAAATGCCATAGAATGTAGTATATTGATAAGAACATTGCCTAACTGACTCCTTAGCTTTCTTTTGTTCATACCTCTCATATCAGATCTTTGTATAGTAAGTTCAAAATACTTATCTGTTTTGTTCAAAAATGCATTAGGAATAGCACAATTGTTTGAAGGCAAATAATGCATTTTAAGTACAATTAGAGGTTACCACCTGTTATGGTGTTTCCACATATATGTACCTACTGATTTAGAGGAATATACCTGGTCCACACATGCAGCAGAAGCGGCTGAGAGGGGAGATTATCATTTCAGTTCATAAAAATGGTGTGCCATTTTGTTAATGTTTTCCCCATATATAAATTTCCTAAAAGCCTTTTTAGTTCATTACCTCTAAGGAACAGCACAGAAGCATTCCAAAGTAGAACCCTCCCCTGCTAATGGGACAGGCCACTGTATAACCAAGACTTTATTGCTTCATTGTGGTCTCCTTTCATTGTATGTTTAGATAAGGTCATACTTATTTAAGTACTGAGAATGGCACTGCAAAGAAGCAGCTCGTGCCTTCTTTTACAAAATCCAGGAATTCATTCTTTAACAAATTTGAAATTAAATGTAAAAACACCCACGTATATTAAAATTGTTTTACCTGGTCATACAGTTTTTCATCTACTAGGAGATAGGTTTTTGCCCACCGTTTAAGGAACCACACAATATCTTTTCCCATTTGCGGGCTCAGAAGGTGCGTAAGATCTGCTCTTATTGCTCGAGACTCCACTTCCGAAACTCTTAGAACAGAAGACAATAACCTGAAGAAAATTAAAGATACCATGACTTTCCCCTAGCGCTCACTGTTGTTGATTTGGGCTTAAACACACAAAACCTTTAAATTTTTTAAAAGTCAGGGGAATAACTGAGTGACATGATCAGCTTCACAATTTCTTTCAGAAGAAAACACTATTTCCTGTTTGGAACACTAAGTTTTCCAAGCATTCGCTCTTTCAGCCACTGAATAGCAGCATATTCTGCCTATCCTTTGCCTCAGATACTAGCATGAAAATCCTCAATCTTTAATTTGGAAGTCTCAGATTATTGCTCAGAATTAATTCTCCAAGATCAATACAACAAGCCTGCTTAGAATATTTGAACATTTTATTGAGACTTGATACCAGTTCATATTATTATTCTCCTGTCTTCAGCCCAAAACTAGTTTAATATTGCTGAAGAGTTTTCTAGGACACCACATTATGACTTTCAGTTATTTAATCCCTGAAGGAGCATGTTAGCTCAAAGAAAACTAGGACTCTTCAGAGAACAGTAAGTATTTTGGAGGAAAGAGGGAGCGTGAGGCCACAATTCAATAGTAGCACACACAGCTCCCCAGTAAGGAACACCAACTGAATTATCTTGCACCTCCAGCTTACATGGCCTGAGGTAGTCCAGATGGGACAGACTTTTAACTCATGCACCTGAAGAGCTTCTGCCAAATGGAAGGCAGTGCTGGGCTGGTAGTCTGATTCCTTAGAGCTTTATTTCTCAGCATCCCTACAAGATGTCTCTGCAGTGACCATCATATATCTACTATTTAGTTAATTCATGTATGCATCTGGGAACTGCTTAAAACCCTGCTATCTTAGTGTGAAAAGTGGCTCATAAGTATTCTGGAAATGCAGAGAGTTTGTGGTATTCAGCTGGATGTTACTGATCTCAGCAGGGCTTTAATTTACTTTTCTTGGGCTTACATTCCATCTTATTTTTTTATGGGTCTTGGAAGCCACCTTTATATTCGCTCAAATTTATCTTCCAAGCAGTCAAAAGTATTTATTGCTATTTTCTTAAAATATAAGAGTTCTATGTCCATCTCTCCTTACTTTTAGTAGCTTGACATATGCAGAAAATACCCATTGCTGCAGGATTGTAACATTACAGAGCATATACGGACCCAGCGCAGCAGTTTTATTACAACGGATAATTAGTGACTATATGCATATTAATAAAAGACATTGTTTTTTCTCTTATAAAACAAAACTTTTTAAACAGATGGATACTGAAAATTTAACACAATATACTATGCTTCCTCATTGTGAGATGTTAGAAACAGGTATTCCTCTTTTAACAGAGAAAAACCCTTTAAAACATTATCCTTAAAGGCAACTGAACTGCCTAAATTAAAAAGCTTTTAAGAACGCAGTTTGTTCTCTGAAATGTTACCCAAAGACCAACAAATTACCTGAGAAGATATGTTAATTTTAGTGACTTAGAAAGTATTCCGTGACTTCATACTGGCCTACAAAACTTGAATATATGTTCTGGCACAGACTCAAGATAGCATTTTGAACAGTCATTTCTGCCTTCCTGTAAGATATTTATTTCAATTTAAAGATGCACCCATGTCACATGCCTGTATACATGTTCACAACAACTCATTTCATTTTCATTTAGTAAGCTATGTACTTCCCTTTTCTGACACACAGCCCTCCAAAAGTGGTGTTTATGTTATTCTTGCACCAAAACCCCCCCTGCTTTTCACTTATACCATAGTGCATCATAATGTTTGCTTAGAGCTAAAAACCTTAAATATTAAGGTTTTTTTCTTCAGTCATCAATGTTGGGTCACTACACCTTAATTCTACATAAAGCCTATTTAACCTTCTTTCACCAGTTGTGACATTCACAATGTTATCATGGATTAATAATTTACAATGACAGCCCTATCTACTTCTGATTTAATTTTCAATATTTGGCATTAAAATACTAAATAAATTACCTAATAACAGAATCGGTTCTGTTGTACCCTGGAATGGAAGAGGCCTTTTCTCCTGGAGATCCAAGAATTTGAAGCGTTGTATTGATGTCAACCTCAGTTGAATGCTTAATGGAATACTCCATTATTTCTGGAGGTATTAGCGGAGTCTCTCCCTGAGTATCATTAGCTAAGAGGTAGCCTTAAAATTAAAAGCAAACAAACAAAAAAAGAAAGTAGTGACCTCAGGTTACCTAGCCTAAATTAAATACTGCTTTAAGGGCCATCAAAAAGATGCTGAGAGAACTGGCATCAATATTTGACTAAATTCTATCATATGCTTAAATTATAACTTGCATTTAATGTTACATAGTTCAATTTGGTTTTGTATTGTGTTTCTACATGTAAGAATAAAGTCTATAAGCAGCTACAATTACTAGGGAGAAAATAGCAAATAAAAATAAATTCACCTTAAATACCATAATAAATATAATTTTTAAATAATACATCTCCTATCTTGGCCATCATGTCACTAATGCTTTTTTAAAAATCTTTTGCATCTGCAGCATAGGCTAGACTGAACCTTTTCAAGTTCCTGTAATACTGGCAGCCCTAACCAGTTAATTCCTTCCAGAGGGAATATATAATAGCTAGAAAAATGCAGAGGAAGGTCTGAGAGAAACTACACAAATTTAAAGATCAAAACAACGTGTTGAGGGGGACGTGAATCATGTTCTTGCCCTTCCTTTCATGGGTGTGCCTGAAGTCTGCAATGTCTATTCCTCCAGAGGCAGTAGACCTCTTCTCAATATGAGATACAATATATAAATGTCAGCCTGTGTCTTCCCAATATCCACACAGTGAGGTACACCACAGAGTGGAAATGGCTGGAGTGGTTCCAGTCCCTCAATGCATCTACATGCAGCATCATCAGCAAAGCAGCCCTCCAAGGCCATTAGGCTCTCAAAAAGAAGTTTAGGAGGCAAAAGGTAAATTAATGAAACTTTACAGCATGTGAATTAAGACATTCATTTCCATAAAACCTCAATAAAAAATCTTTGCTAAGTTGTATATTTGTCAACCAGTACGTCAGTAAAACAGACTACTAACTGTTTTAATATCAATTTGGAACACATACAGACATTTTAGTATCATTTGAGATATGACCATATGTACACATCCACAGTTGAGATGTAAGAATATGAATGTGCCCATGTGTTCCAAACAGATGCTGAAATAAATAATAGAAATAAGATTACAGAATCATAGAGGCTCTTTAGACTACACAACCCAGGGCACAATGCAAGAATCCTAATTAATGCACCCCAGACAGATGGCTCTCTATCTCCTATTTGAATGCATCCAAAAAAAAAGGAACCCATCTTGTCTCTTGATAATTGGTTCCACTCTGAACAGGTCTTACTGTTTGGAAGTTTTTTATAACATTCAATTGAGATCAGTCCTCCCCTAACTCAAATGTATTATTTTGTCCTGCATTCTGGAATGATGGCGAACACATCTTGTATTTCTTGAGAATGTCGTCATGACTCTCCTCAGTTGCCTCTTCTCAACATTACACATTTTTTTCTCATAGAACTGAATTTCCGTTCTCCAGATTATCCTCACTGTGTTCTTTGTACCTATTCCAGTTTGACTGAATCCTTTAAAAATGTAATGTTCAGAACTGGACAAAGTATTCCAGTTTGCCCATTGCAGAGCAAAGTAAACTATTCTAAGATTTGGGAGGCATATTTCTATTGATAAAGCCTAACATTCTTTATGCCTTTTTGGAAACCATGACATACTGTTGACTCATATTCAGTTTATAATCAACTACAATTCCAAAATTATTTTTGGATATACTATTACAAAGTTAAATATTCCCCTTTTTATGCCTGTGCATTTTATTTTTCCCCTGCCCTGAAGACCTTTCCATTTGTTTCTATTAAATGTAATTCTGTTAGTAGTTCTCCTTTTAGTGACAAAGTATTGGCACACATTCTTATCTGAATTAAATGCTGAATCTAAATGTGAAGGGTTTTTGTGCTGATTAATGGAAAAGCAGTTTACAATAGTATGAAGCTCTTGTTCTTGGAGGCCAAAAGATTAAGAGGCAGTTTGGCCTTCATGATTCACACAGCATTTGTGTCCCAGGGAAACTGAAGGAGATCATTAGAAGCTGTTTCAAGAGACTTCTTTCCCGGACAGGCTATAACTATTGGGCCCCTCAACAGCATGTGATGCATTTAGATTTCACCCTTTTTGTGCTTCCTTCCTATTTTCATGCAGGTACTAGTCCAAAGATGAATTACTCAAAGAATCTAGAAGGCTACGTCAATGACTGAGAGAAATTTGGCTGTGGCAGTGGAATACAGCAGACATACTATAATATACTAGCCTATTCATAACAGCCATCTTCTCAAGTCCAGTTTAGCTGGACTTTTCCTGAGCCTTCATCATTTATTTTCCTACACAACGGCCTTGGGCTGAATGTTAAGGTTTCCTGTATTGCATGGACCAATGGCAGTCCTCCCCAAATACAGCAATTCTCATTCAGGAAACAAGCAATTGCTCACCAATACTGTAAAAATTCTAGAATGTATTTTCAAATTTGTAACTTTGGGTTTTTGAGGGAAGGGATTAAAGGCTGAGGAAGCTAATAATTTGCTTCACTGAGTCATACTGGACAACTGGAAAACCTAAATTCAATGCTGCCAGGTAAAATGATTGTGAAATTGTTCCTCTACTTTCTACTTGAAGAAAATTCCAACTTGGCCAAAATAGCAAGAGAAATTTCATGCCTATAGAAACTGCTCCCCCTTATCAACAAAAATCCCAATATATTGCTTAATGGTACTATATTTTCCCGCTTTTTCAATGGAAACATACCAAAAGCACTAAGATCCTTGTACCCAATCTCCAAATCTGGTTGTTTTGGTTGGGTTTTTTTTTTTTTTTTTTTTGCTATGTGGTACAGAAAACCACCACACTCATACAAGGCCATTTTATCCTGACATGAGTGTTGTGAAAATAAGGGTGCATCTATGTGTGTAAACTATACACACACAATTGATAGAACTAATTTGTGATAGATTTGACAAAGGAACTTCCATTTCCAGTGGAATGATCTCAACTGCTCTGCGTGCAGAAGTCTTAGACTCACCTGTGACTAGAATAAGCCAATGAATATCCTCATACAAGTCATCAAGCATTTTATTGTCAATGGAGCCCGATCCAGCTGAACTAATTAATTGCTGATGCCTTTGTAACTGGCCATGAAGCCTTGTCACTCTGTCTTCTAACAAACTGAAGGGAAACATTAAACAAGTTTATTAGTTATTCTTTTTACAATAAGGTGAAAATTGCAACGGTGATGTCAAAGCATACAAATGACTTGAGCCATACCTGGTAAGAAGAGGTATACAGTGTTCAGCAGCAATTCTTCCTAACATGCCTATGCTGGCCAGCTGATCAGAAAATTGTTCTCTGTCATCTTCCTGCAGCTCACTTATTTCCTCCTCCTCCCTGGAAGCCACACCATTGGCAGTCTGACATTAGAAACAGAATGTAAGCATGTCACATTGTAAAAGATGATTTTTTAGCAGTTGTTAATGTTTTAAATAAAATAGATTAAAAGCTGACCCATCACAAGTAAATGTTAGGTAATATGTTCAGGTGCTATACAATGTGGAAAAGTAAACATGTACAAAAAGATATAGATTTGCAACTATTGTATGTTTCCTCTTACTCTCTTTGCATTATCAAAAATACGGAACAGCCTTATTGGATAGGACCAAAAGCATATCCAGTTCAGCATTCTAATCCCACAGTGGCAAACCAGCTATCTGTGGAAAACCCTAAATAGCACTCTTCTGATCAAGTTTCTTAGTATTCAGTATCCAGAGCCATACTGCTTAAGAGACCAGAGATAATATATAGCCACAGTGACTAAAAGTACTGACGTCCTTCTTCTCTATGAATCAGTCTACCCTGTTTTTAAAACTGTCACAAGTTGGCCCCTCATTATGCTTCTGGAAGAAAATTCCCAAGTTACATAAAAACTTATGTTTGACAGGCCTGGGATGTCAAGTTCCCTTCCCAGTTACTATAGTTGTAGGCCCTAGGTTAATCTCATTTTGGTCCTGTAAAATCTAGATGAAATCATGCATTTATTTATTTATTTAATCTCTGCCCATCTCTCCCTAATGGGGAACTCTGGGTGGCTCACAACTCATTAAAACAATAAATAAATATACAATTACATAAAATCTAAAACCTGTACATGGGGAGGGGGGGAGCAGGGGGAGATTGTTGACTGAGATCTACTTAATCCAATTATTAAAAATGGGAGCCACTTACTTCCAATATTATTGCAAGTGTCAATCCTCCAAGAAATTTACAGCATTTAGAACAAAGAAGTACTATAGGAAAATCTCTGTGGTGGAATGACAAACTCATTCTCTTTCTCATAACAAATCAAGAGAATGCAGAGTAGGCAGCAGGACAGTTAAGGGAGGAAACAGGATCATTACAGAAGGCATTCTTGAGCCCAGAGAAGGGGAAAGCACAAGAGAGTCAGAGTAACTTCAACCTAATTATACTACATATAAGTCGTACAGGAAAATTACTTTGGTAGGCTTTCAGGATTCTATTACTGTACATTACTAGCAATAAAGGTCTTTTCAGAAATCCAAGTGGTTCTTGCTTTCTATGCTTGTCAGCTTCACAGGCTTGACATTAATCTTGAAAGCCTCCTTTTCTCTCATCAGAGAAAACTGGGTCCTGTGTTCTGGATCTAGACATGACTTCTGATCCTCAAGGTACCTCATTGGCAGAGCAGGTGGCAGAGGTGTTATTGCAGCATATGCAGGAGGTAGAGATACAGATCATAGTTTGTATGGTGCCTTTAAGGATAAAGGGTTTTAAAGGGTTGTACAGTTGTGGTGCAGTCAATTCAGTATTTAGGCAAGGGTTTACAAGGAGCAGCCCCACAGGCTGCTATGCAGACACTTATACTCTGCTCTTATGCAAGCCTGCCAAAGAAGTTGGGGTGGGAGGGGAGAGAGACAGGACCAATTCCTTACTTTCACTACTCAGTCTGAATTATTCATGGCAGGCACGTGGGCCAGCAGAATTCCTTACAGACCAGACCAAGGTGGCATTTGTTCTTAACCCTTTGAAAGAAAGAGCAGACAGATGGGCAGTACTACTTATTGAAATCAACAAACTATATGAGGTACTTATTAAAATTTTATGTAGATATTCAGAGCTGCTTTTGATGATTCCACCTGGAGAGTAACTGCTAATTGGGAGATTAATAAATTATGATCTGGAGGATGCCAAATGTTTGAGTACACAGATTTACAGTTGAATGCCAGGGCCATGTTCTGGAATGATTTTGCCCCAATCAAACAGTTTTGGGAAGGTCTCTCCTATTAACTGAGGATCAATTAATGTGACAAGGCACATCATAGACCTTGGAAGAGTTACTTCAACATTGCATGATGTTTGATGGCAGGCTAGAGAAGACATAGAGGAAATAACAGCCTTTCTTTAACCTTCCCTTCCCTTCCTCAAAATTGCCTTCTTGGACTCCAAGGTGTGTCCAAGCCCATGCAAATAGGGACAATGAAGAGATCCACATTTGCAGTGGAGAAACAAGATGAGATCTCGGATTGTTTTTACCTCACTAAGCTTCCTTGCTCTGAATTGGCTGGAAAGTATCACACCCGTGGAGTTTTAGGACACCTTGCAAGTAAATACCTGAAAGCTTTGACTTTGGGAAACTTTGCAGAACCCTCTCCCAAGAGCTCAGCAGGGCTCCCCACACACCCCGGCAGACAATTAAAAAGAGCTCCAACTTCTGATACCAGGCAAATGCATTTTATAATCTTAGTCTTTGCACCTCCACGCTCAGAAACCCAACTATCCGCTTTTGGACTCCGGGGTGACTGCTAATTTCATAGATGGTACTATTGTGTGGCAGCTGGGCTTGCACACATAACCACTGGAAAAGCCAATGCTAGTGAGATTATCAATGGCAGACCCCTTAAATTGGGCTTCATCCAGCTGTTGTATGGTCCCTTTGCAACTGAGAATAAATGATGATAAGGAATTCTTGGAGTTCTATTTGAGTGTCTCCTTCTATGGCCCAATTGTCTTGGGTATAGACTGGCTACAAACATATAATCTTGATATACAGAAGAAGCAAGGAACTGTTTCCTTTCCCCTTACAAAAACATCAACACTATGGGGCTGCAGGTGTTGGACCCTTTTCCATCTCTCTATCCTGCACTGCCGCCTGTACCTCTTTCTTTACCAGTAAAGAGTGCGATTTGCTGATTTTGGGGGGAAGAAGCAGCTTGAATCCACATCAGGCATGTGGCTATACTATTGACTTGCTACCTGGAGCCCAGATTCCAACCAAACAACAATATCCCATGTCTACTCAAGAGTCAGAAGCTTTAAAGGAGTTTCTTGATGGCAAGTTGAAGAAAGGATTTATTCACCCTTCATCTCCCATGTCTGTACCACTGTTTTGTTTCTTTTATAAAAAAGAAAGATATTCTTCTTCGAACCCTGTTCCTGACTACAGACTTCTCAAATCTGTAGCCATTAGAGGTTATTATCACTGCCTCTTATTTTGTATATATTGGACTGCCTTCATGAGGCTCACATTTTCACTAAATTGGACTTGACAAGAACATACAATTTAATGTGGATGGAGGGACATGAATATTTAACAGCCTTTGATATGCATGGCGGCAAGTTTGACTACATGGTTAGTGAACTGCCCCACAGTGAAGAGCTCTGTGCTCCCAACCACACCTGTCTCACAGCTACTGTTTCAAACTCAGATGTTGAACAGGAGAGGGAGAGGCACATTCCAGCCTCTTAGACTTGTCCATTAACCTTGAGGAAAGTTCTGGCAATTCTCTATGCATTCCATGGCAAAGGGGAAAAGTGAGTCTGAAGGGGGAAGTAATACAATGCAATGTTTTACAGACATTGGGAATACAGAGGATGCACCATGACAGTTAAGGGAGGAAACAGCCATTACAAAAGACATTCATCAGCCCAGGGGAGGAAGGAAGTGTGAGAAAGAGATTCAAAATAACTTTGCCTTAATTACACTAGGCAATTACTTAATTACCGATAATTACTTTGGCAGACTCTTAAGATTCTATTACATTACCCTACCAGCAATAAAAATCTTTCCAGGAATGCAAATGGGTTGTTTCTTATGCTTGCCAAACCTTGCAGGTTTGAGGGTCTCCAACTTTCTCAAAAGAATTTTAACAGTAATAAGTTTACAGATATATGTGTTGCAGATACGGATCAGATATTTAATGTCCTCTCTGGATTGGTTGTCCCACTTGGAATTCAGAATCAGAACATTTCATCATCTAGGTTCATACTTTACATACTTTAGCATATTGTGGTTTGCTTGATTTTGTGTTGCTGCAATGTATTATTAAATTATACACACACACACACACACACACAC